AAAATCTCAATAATAAAATTTTTGGTATAATTTCTAATTAAAATAAATATAATAATATTTTTAATATTTTTTTTTTCTTTTGACTGTCTTATCATAAAACTTTATTAGATTGTTAATATATAGTTATCCTACTTATTACATATTAAACTTAAAGAAAAATTCTATCTAATTTCATAAGCTTGATATTACCTGACTGCTTCTAAGAGTGCTTAAGTATAACTTGTCATACTGGTTATTATAACTAGAACTATGATATCAGATTGCTAAAACCAGGTTTCTTCTAATTTAACTAATACTAAATTAAAAGATATTAATTGCTAGCAGTAAAAAAAAATAAAATTGTTACTAATCTAAAAATACTAGACTTACTAACAAAGAAAAACTTGCTCCAAGTTATAAAAACTTTGTTAGGTAGTAATATCATAGAAGAAACAGAAAATAAAAGAAAAAAGTAACTAGATATTCTTAATCTGAGTTAGGCTTAAAAATTTTAAGTTATGCAACTTATAACTAGTGATAGCAAATGTTTTAAAACATAATTTAAAAATCTTAATTGATTTTTAATTGTTTAAAATTGTTTTAAAATATTATAACATAATTATATATAAATAAAATTACATAATTTGATTTAAATAAAGTTATGCAATTTAATTTTATTAATAAATAAATAAAATTATGCAATTTTGGTTTTATTAAATAGTATTTCTTATGATTGCTAATATCAAAAAAAAATACTTTGAATAACTATGTCTCATGGAAGATCTCTATTAAAAGAAATTCATTTGAATTTCACAAAAATTACAGAAAGTGACAAACATAGTTGAACAATATTTTGTCAAAAGTATAATTACTGTAATGAAAACATTGTTAATTTAATTAGCTGATTAAAAAAATATTTAACTAAATATAAAGAGCTTCTAAAAAATATAAGAAATTTACTAAACCTTTAAGATTCTCATTATACAGTATCATTAAGTAAATTAGATATAGATAATATATTAGCAAAATTCTTTTTTTAGCTAGAATTTCTTTTATTACAATAGAAAACCTTTTTTGAAAAGAATTTATTAAAGCTGTACAACACTATATTAAAAATGTAAATTCATTTTATATTAGTCCTAATTGATATAATTTAGCTAATAATCTACTAGATACTGAATATCAAGTTGAGAAACAAAATTTAGATATGCTTCTAAATGATGCTAAAAATATTATATTGGTGTCAAATAAATTGCCTTATATTAGATGAGAATCTGTTTTAAATTTTATTCTTTGTCTTCTATGACTAATATTTTATGATACAAAGTATTCTGAGTCTAAATAATATACTACAGAATATATTTACAATGAGCTTAAGACAATTATAGAACATGTTAGCTCTTTCAAGTTTGCTAGGATCGTAATAGAAAATGTGAATTCAATAAAAATAGCTTAGAGATTATTAAATCAAAATTAATATTTTGAGTTGTAATACATATATCAGAAATCTTTTAATTAAAGATATACTTAAGCTTAATTGGATAGAAAAATTAATGATTTATGTAAAGCAAATTATTAGCTTTTTTTGATTATATTATCTAGAAAAGTCAATTTTATCTAATTAAACAAATATAATAACTTTAGTTCAACCTATTGATACATATTGAGAAACTTGTTTAGATGTTATACAATCTGTTCTTAAATACAAGTTAAGAATTCAAATAACTGTAATACAATCTAAGATTAGCAAAATAATTATACAAGATCTTAAAAATCAAATATTTAATGATATATTATAGAAAGAATTAGAAAAACTTACTTCTTTTCTAATACTATTTGTTAGACTTATATGATTATTTGAGTTTAATAATCTTTTGCTTTTATATTTTTATTCTGAATAGCAACAACTTCAAGAATCGATTAATTCATATAATTTAGAGATAGATTTTAAAACAAAAGTTCTCAAATTGATTAATAAACAATTTGAATTTGCTTTTTATCCTACAATAGTAATTACAAATCTTTTAGATTTGAAGTATTACTATTATATTTATCTATTTTATTTATTTACCTATTTATTAAATTATCTAAAATAAATATTTTTATATTTAGAATTTGTAAAAAATCACTAAGACAAAATGATTTAGAAGATATTATTATCCCACAACTTGAAAATACTTATATATTAGAAATTGCAGCATATATAAGTATTGTAAAAGTAATTGGTTTTACTAGATTGTAATTTTAATATATATATTTTTAAGATTTATAGAGTAATTCAAAAATATATTGTCAAAGCTGATAAATTTTTGAACTATTACTATAGGTATCTGTTGAGTAATCAAGTCCAATTAGCTAGTACAATTAAATTTTTTGAATAAATTTCCTCCTGTGGTTGAACTTGCTTGCTGAGTTTTCTCACTACTAGCCTCTTCTATTGCTGCAGAACATTGCTAGTTTAATTTTAAGTTTATTTAAAATAAGTATCATGTACATTTATATAATAATTAGATAAAAAAACTTGTGACTATTTACCAAAATCTGAGAATCTAAAAAAAAATTAAAGATAATAGTTGATTTGATAATGATGATAGTAATAATAATTTAAAGGAAGGTCTGACAATCTTAGTGTAGTAGTTAGATTGTCAGACTGCCATGCAAGAGGTCTAAGGTTCAAATCCTACTATTGACAAATTTGAATAATTATTCAGACTTTTGTACTCAACTTACAGTAAACCCTATCTGTTTCCGGAGTTGTAACCCTGTAAATCATATTGCATCAATATCATCTGGATATTAGAAGTATGACAAGGCATTTGGCAAGACATAACATTATACGAATAAATCTTGATAGGATCTATGAGCAGAGGACCTGCATGGTAGAAATCCTGAGTTAGTGAAATAGTATAGCCTTTGATAGTTACACTAGCTAATACTTGATCCAGAAAAGAAACTATCATCAAAAGATGCAGATCAGGTTAGGTGCGTATAAATCTAGTTCATAAGGAGAATTAGTAATACTAACTTGGCTTGGCAGCTAACTGAATTAGAAAGATCTGCCTTATAAAACATTTGAGAATATAGAATACAGAAAACTAGTAGAGAGCTATAGTAGGAACTAGTATTGTATGAACATCTACAAGAGTTTAAGCTAGATGAATTTGTAAAATAAGTATAGACCACTCTAGTAGATATGCTTTGAGGTTAACTGGCTCTGCGATATCTACAATGTGTTAGATACAATGTATCCCAAGAGGATCTAAGCCATTCTGAATAAATAGATTCGTAATAAGCTAGTTGGCTTAAGCAGTTAGGTGTTGTAATAATATTAGGTTGGATTTGTATGGGTTAATAAATAGAGTATTTAAATAGATAATACACAGGTAGGTTACAGATATGGTAGCATAGTGTAAAACTAATCAGGTGGTCTAATTGCCTGTGCAGCAAACTACTTAAAATAGATAATGACTAAAGTTGTACATATGGCTTGTTGTATACTCTTTATATAACTACAAACAGTAGAGACTATCAATAGATATCCTGTATACAATTCTAATAAAATTCCTTCGGCAATGTAAGCTGCCTTAATAACAAAAAAAAAAAATTAATTCAGAAGAATAAATTATTTATTAAATATACTGCTTAAATTATTTTCAAAAACTTTATATAGCAGTAATATTTGAAATACATATTGTAGGTCTTGACTTACAATATCAATAAATATAGTATATATAGAATACAGAATGCTTGTTGATAAAATAATTAAAAAAAATTAAATTAGTTAAAAAATATATTTTTATAACTTTTTATAATTTCTTTTTATATTCAACAAATTAATTCTAATTATAAAAAGAAGACGCAAATCACTAACTCTTCCTGTAAATCACTTGTACCAAAACTTCCAAAAAAACATTTGTTTATAACTAAATATTTTACTAAGTAAACTCTTCTTAGGCCACTAAGCAAAATTGTTCTACACAAGATTCTGCTTTAGTAGGACCTAATTTTATATCTTTCAGACTTAAACTCGCAAAGATATTTACTTTAATAGTTAATATAACAATTTTATTATTATC